CGCTTATAAAGTCCAATTTGGTCTGGGCCTGAGGTGGGCTTAATAACCGGCAACTACTGTATTTGAAAAACTTCAGCTTAATGAGTTGTAGATCTCTTGTGTTACCTATTTCCATCGCTTTATTCTGATGCTTTCAATAATCTTAACGTCCTGAATTGATATTTTGATGGAATTAATTATTTAAAGAGTATTGTCTTGAAAAAGCGAATCAGTATTTGTGAATTCACCTTTGCCCATATTCCCAATGCTATCTCGCGATCACAAATACAGTTAATAAATTCCCAGCAGAAACTAATTTAAATATTTCCAAATTTAAATATTTATTTCAGTTGACAGTTTTTCTCCTAAACACCACAAATGACATTCCATTTTTGAATTATGTGTCATGCCTTAGGAGTTTTTTCACAGTCTGCTTTTTTTGCTCAGTTACACCTGCTGGATCCTGTTAACTGACATCACCACCTGTGATTGCATTTCTTGCTCGGCTGTGCCGATGTATTTCTTAACTTTTGTGTACCAATAGGGGGTTCATAGGCGTTTGCCTTTATTTCCCTTGATAAACTTCACTTGACTTTACTTGACCCAATTGTGAAAAAACTCGCGGCTTCGTTGGAAGTTAAACCCAAACAAGAGAAAAGGCTTTTGCGCAGCCAACGCTCTACTAGTGAACTACGAGGCTCACTGTTAGCCCAAACTACTGATCGTATTGAACACATCAGTAGGGATACAGTAAGCTGACTGCCTAGGCTGGATTCTCTGAGCAAATGTAGGCTTACTTACTTATTAGGGGGTCGGCAGACTCATTATGGAGGATTCTAGACGAATGCTTAAGACATCCTGCCTAGACTAAGTAAAGGTGAAACTATATCGATCTCAAGTGCTATTATCGCACATCTTGTTGATACGAACCATCGAGTCGATACTAACGAAGCCTTTCACGTGGTCTACAGGACACCATCTAATTTTTCCAAAGGCCTACCAACACGCTGACATGGCCTACATAAGCAAACTGACATAGTCCGCGTTGGCCAATCAGCGCCCGTGTAAGATAGTTATTGATTTTTCTACATATTCGAACTTTAACTGTTATTTACAGCGTCATTTCCCTTT